ATGTTTACACAGTACACGTATGCTCACATTTGCCCACTGTGGCCATGAAACACTAAATCAACTACCTGATCGTGTACTCAGTAAACGAATTTTGGTCAAAAGCTGATCAGTGTTAGAAAAAAGAGCATAAAAGCTAGTCCTGTCTGTTATTCTATAATTCACTTGATCTTTGTATGTCACACATTATATGGTCGCTTTTAAGGACAAGCGGGCTAACCCAGATTTTATAGGTTTCCAGAAATCTTGACCTACACCAAAAGTGGGCATTTCCTTACCTATAGGAGAAGTTTGGTTTTATTGGTGAGTATATTTATTTGGTTATAGAGAAAACAATCCTTGTCTTTTAAAAGAAACTGAAAAAGGGGCAAAAACTTTACCTTCGATTTTCTCAAAACAGCATTTTTCGGGATAGCCCTCTTGTGCTTAAAGGCGACCATATAATGTCATCCTATATACTTCCTTTGTGTTAGCCTCCAAGCATATTTGATACATTTTTAGGACACACGAGAGAAGTCTACAAACATTGGTGTGGGTTTTGTGGCATAAAAAGCCAGCAGGATTTGAGATGAAAGAAATGTCGAGACCCTGAAGGAGTAAAAAGGTCATCCATGGGAATGGAAACACAGAATATTATGATCCTTTTCAAGAAAATATAATGTTTGTATTATATTGTAAAAGCATAAAAGCGAATAACATTTAATTGAAAAAAGGATAAGAATACAAAATAGTTGGAGAGAACAGAGTTAAGGTTATTTCTTTCAAGATGTTAGGAAACTCAAAAATATTCAGGTTTGAGTCTCACTTGGAAAGTGTGATTCATTATGACAGTCAGAGTATCAAAAAGATTTTTTATGCCGCTTGAACCCAAATTAAAGGATTAGCAAGCAAGAGTACTAAACAGCATGGAAGTACAAGTTCTGTGATCCACTTTTTTTTTTCTCAGAGGTATCCTGTAGAGTCTCGCCGAGCCATGCACTAACAAACAATAAATGTGAGACGAGCTGACAAAATGAGTTACTTCTCGCAATCCACAATTGGAGATATTGGCCAAAAATCGACATTAGGGTCAAATTTGTAGATTTTCTATAGGTGCCATATTCTTTAACTAAAACCTGTCTTTTATTATTTCATACGTATAAAATTGTCAAATCTTCACCTATAACAGCGATGTATCTATTTCTTTAAGGCTTGAATCCGAGAAGTAACTCATTTTGTCAGCACACTTCACAAATGTCACTCACCTTCTCAAATCTGAATTTTTCATGGATAAGCAGAGGGAAGACTGAGGCAACGAGTCGAGTATTTCGGTACTGGTTGAAGAGGGAGACGCTGAGATAGACATCTTCTCTGCTGGGTAACCACACTCCAGGGGCAGAAACCTGATGAAACATCAAATTTTTTTTTTTAATCAGTGATCAAACATGCTTTACAGCTTCACCAAAGCTTTGTTCAAAACGCTGCTCGCATCTTTAGGTTCCTGTGGTGTTGGGACATCAAGGAGGCACCACAGCAGCCCCCCCCCCCTTCCCCCCCAGGGTAGTGCCATTGACTGAAGTTGTCTTTAGGCCATTTCCAAAGGGGGGATATTAACATGTTCTTACGGACAGTACAATTGTAAATTGGCTGATTTATCAATGTCATGCTCACACTGTGCCGGAATATCATAAGGGAACTGCTGCTTTTTCCCTCTATTTCTTTTGTATGTTTGTTACCCCCTTGTGAACTGCTATTTCCGAAGTGCCTTGATAGTTGAAGCAGACTTTGTGCTGTAGAGGCTAGAGAGGAGAGCAGAGTAAGCCTGATTCCTTCTTTGGACTTCTCTGTTGACATCCACCCCTTGGTGCTTATATGACCTTATGCAGTAGTGAGTGCCGTAAAACCTAACTAAAACAGGAGTCATCACCTTCTTCAGGGACGACAGACTCTGGGGCTGATATAGCCCTGATTATGAATGCTACAAAATGCTGGGTCTAGAATCTCCAACAAAAAGGTCCTTAAACAAAAACTTCAAGAATTGAAGTACAAAAAAAAAAATTCCCGTCAAAGGTAGCAAAATACATGCAGAACCGATCGAAACCATTATCGCTTTATGACTTCACTTTTTGGTTTGTCTGATGCAACCGGATGATTGAGATTTCCGACTAACATGACAGATGGAGAGACCCATTATCATTTCATTATGAATGAGAATACGATGATGTAAAGTGTAGAGTCATTCTACTCTATTTCAGATCCTAAGTAGATTTGAGATGATGCTATTATTGCTATCGTGGGTTTGTAATTATTTAGCAATTCACATTTTCACAGATGGAGAGACCCATTATCATTTCATTATGAATGAGAATACGATGATGTAAAGTGTAGAGTCATTCTACTCTATTTCAGATCCTAAGTAGATTTGAGATGATGCTATTATTGCTATCGTGGGTTTGTAGTTATTTAGCAATTCCCATTTCATATAAGGGAGTAGCTAATTAGAGTCTCATTGTAAGACTACCCTCCATCCAAAGCATCAAAACAAATGGCATCCACATGCTGTTGTTTTAGTTTGTTGTTAAATTTATGTTAAAAAGTTCTAGTGCCAGTTTTTTAAATATCATATAACAGTAAAAGTGAAAGAGAATGTGAGTCTGAGTGTCTTTGTATGTGTGTATAGTGAGAGAA